TTATAATATATTTATTTTTATAACCTCTGCCAAATAACCTTTTGTAAATATAGCTCCAAACTTTCCATGATTCAATCTTAGTTAACTGAACATATTAATCACAAAGCCTCTTCGACAGCTTCCACCATTGTCGTATATTCCGCTTTAGTTATGGATAAAGCAGTATCCAATTGAAGTATATATAACTATCCAAATGATAGATCCACCAAACTTGTAGTAGACCTTCATTCGTCCAGGTCACCTATACAACCCACGTAGCCCACAACTTGTCCTTTTTTTACTTCTTGTTTCTCATACAAGATACCAAAATTTAACGTACCTCTGAAGTACCTGAATATCTATTCCAGTGCTACTCTTTTTCCCAGATTATCCATGTACTTGCTCACCAAATTGTCTGCATGTGAGATACTTGGCCAACTGCAAACCATGACTTACATAAAATTTTCGACTACATTTGTACGGCACATAGGACATTTCCTCACCTACATCATGTGTAGAAGTATGCAATCTAGCAGATAATATAAAGTGGTTTGCTAGAGTACTAGGGACTGATTGGAATTACCCACATTAAACCTCTCTAGCACCTTATTCACAAATTTATTTTTGTGATACCCATGGTTTGCTTTTTTTCCTGTCCCTCCGGATTTATGTTCCCAGGATCCTGATAGCAATGCCTAGATCCAATAATATCAAAATTCCTCTGTGGTCTGAACTTCAACAACATCAGCTCATGCGTGTTATTAAACAATTAACATGTCATCAACATAAGCATTAGAATAGTAAACAAACCATTATTAAGAATTTTTAATAAACACAGTAGCTACTCCACATAGCTACTTCGTTCCATTGTCCATCCGTGAGTACCTGACTTGCTTTCCTACTTACTTTTCATCTTCACTTTCCATTGCTTGAATTTTTAAATACTCCACTGTTGTGTGTCATGAAATATACTCATACTTTTCTAGAGAAGTAATTGAGAAACTGTGACTGGTCCCCAAACATCACATCCTAGCTTGTATCTTATCATGCTCTGAAGTTCACCTTGCACCATTACCCATATAAGCAATACTTGTAAAAAAAAAAATTTACAAGTTTTTACCATATTAAGTAGACTTTTTATGTGAAATTCCTACAGACCTTTCTCACTCATATGGCCACACTCATATGGGCAAGGTGTAAACGTCATAAAGTAATATCATGAGTACCCGAATCCAAGGGAGTGGTCATACTAGCTCTACATGTAAAAATACTCCCTATCTGTCCATACCAATTTTATAGATGTTTCCCTTCATTATAACCATGACCCACTTGAAAATTTGTTGGGAAGTTGAAACCATTTGGAATCAAGTGTAGCAAAGGAAATTAAAACTTTTAGAGTTTAGAGACATACCGCACATCACCTAGTGTTCTCATCATATAGACAATCGCTCCTTATAAGGATAAATATGATAACAACATCCTAAATCCATTCAAAAAGATAATTCGTACCTCTGGTGATTGACGAAAAATCATTATTTCCGTCTTAACCATCTTATACACTGCCTGCTTGATTTGAATTAGGAGATTTTCCTTTTTCTTCCTGACGTCGTTTTCTTTGATTGCATTCTATTAGATCTTATTTGTAATTGACTAATTTCGTGAAGTCTTCTGTAAACCCTAAACCTATTTCATGTTCATGATGGTATCAAGTTCAATATCTAAAAGCGTCATCACCTAAGATGAACCCTTGGTTATTAGGATGATTATGATGAAAATAAAATTGGAAGTAACTCGATTATGACTCCTATGTAATTTAAAAAAAAAAAGTTTTTCTAAAACATTTACGTGTTTGAAAATAAAGTTTGAGTTACAATCAGACCCCTCTTTGAGCAACACCCTTTTAGTGCTCAAGCGGTCATTCACAAATTTGAATTTTCTTATTTATTAAAACTATATTTATTCCGAAACTATAAATAGGTAGGGTTTTCCCACATCTAGGTTAAGCCTCTACAAAGATTTTAAAAAGAGAAATTCATTCCTCTACCTTGAGAGTTTCTACCATCACCTAGATCTAAAAGGCTACCACTAGTGATTCTAGCCAATCTCACAAATTAGTGTTGAAGAACTTGTTGGTTGAAAAACTCATTGGTGTGTGCATATTGAGGATTGTTGGTATGCCTATAATCGCTCGAGACCTAGACAATATGTGTGGCGGTGAGGTCCAAGTGAAGCTACACCAGACATTGGAGAGAAACTTTTGGCGGAAAGACATAGCAAGGAAATGAGCATCTAACTATGGTATTGATTGAAATATAAGTCTCAAGTATTTGTATGTTGACTTGCAAAGTAATGGACTAGGTTTTGATGAACCTAACATGTTTTCTCGTGATTTTTCCTGAGGAGGATTTTTCACGTTAACAAATTGCTTGTGTCTCTTATTGATTATTGTACACACTTACATTTGTCAGCACACATGCACACTACATATTTGTTGTATTGATTGATTGACATTCATTCAACCATAATTAGGCAATTGGGTTTGGAATTTCGAATCGTCGTGAGATTGATTTTGAACGAATTATTTCAAGATTAATTAAAATCAATTGTCATGGCTAAAAATATATTCACAAGTACACCAAAAATTTTGAACAGAAGCAAAGAGAGGATGATCATATCCTCCTCTCTAGTTTTTCCCTCCACATTAAATCGTTGAGTTTTATTTAAAACATTGAGATGATCATTTACATTTGTTCATTTTTCCATTCACAATTATTATAAATAAATTTTTAGGACTAAAATACTGTGAACTATTAATTTTCTAACTTTTTCCACAATTTTGAAGCAGAAATTACAGTTAGAAAATTATAATTTACCTCTAGTGCGAGAAAGAAGCGGATGGTGCTCACAACCTCAATCTGTTATGAATGATTTAGTATAGAAGGAATCGACAAGAAATAATGCGCAAAATAAAACTGAATCCACAATTCTTGTCATGGGACATGGATCACGGAATCAATAACAACAGCTGAAAACATAAGCTTTGGAGCATAGTTTTGCAACCTGATATTAATATTTTAATTATGCTCACAAGTAGCTTGAAATTTTATTTATTTACTTCAAATAGAGGTGTATTTGTTGGGTTGCACCTAGTGGTAGTATTGCAGTTATGCCACTGATTGGAAAATACTTGTGAAAATTTGGTCAGTACAATACCAAGGAAATAAATCAATCAATCAATCAATCGAAGCACATAAAGAAAGAATACCAATATTTTACGTGGTTCAACAAAATTCCTTCCTATATCCACGAGGCGCGATCCGGTCATGACTTTCTTTACTTTTGAGAGAAATTGAGTACAATAGTACAAACCTCACCACTCAAGATTAAATTTACCTCTAGTGCGAGAAAGAAGCGAATGGTGCTCACAACCTCCATCTCAAGTTTCTCCCATCTTTCTTTTTCATGGATTCTGATTTCTCCAATACTAGAAAGTGCTTTGACCAGCCTTTGTTGCACTAAAATGTTTTCAATTGTGCATTGCCACTGTCCAATCACATGGCTCCACCTCGAATATGCCCATTGAGATTCCTTTTTCCACCATTGTACTGAGAACCGATAATTAAGAACATGTGCAATTTTTTCTTAATTCAAAACCTTCCTGTGTTGAACCTCAAGGCTCTAATACCACTTGTTGGGTTGCATCCAGTGGTAGTACTGCAGTTATACCACTGATTAGGAAATACTCGTGGAAATTTGATCATTACAATAATAAGGAAATAAATAAATCAATCAATCAAAACACATAAAGAAAGAACAACAATATGTTACATGGATTAGCAAAATTCCTACGTATGTCCGCGAGGCACGATTAGGTCACTTTCTTTACTATTAAGAGAAATTGAGTACAATGGTGCAAGCCTCACCACTCAAAGTTAAATTCTCAACCTGATCTCTATATCCGTTGTACACCCCCTTACTCAATTTTACCACTCTTATTCTCAACTAAAGAAATACATCAAATGTGAAAAACCTCGCATTCCCTTCAAATTCTCCATTGAATATGGATAATCCCGAATTCCTAAACAGGAATTCGGGTTTTCCCAGACGACTCAGGATAACCCGTCACCCGACACTCGACTTTTCTCTCACCTAGATGGATGTCGAGTTCGGCTTACTTGCAACTAAGCTTGTCAACGGATCAAATATGGATCAGATTGGCCTATATCCGAATCCGAATATGATTAAGTTTTTATTGATCCAATTTGATCCGATTATCCGACGGATTTGAAAAATTCAATCCATGTCCGGATTCATAAATTTTTGGATCCCCGATCCGATCCGATTATCACAAAAAACACATTTACGCCAAAAAATTAACAATAAGAATTTGGATAATGAACTAAACAAAGTAAGAAAAATGAAAAATTGAAGAAAAAGCAAGAGAGAAAATCAAACAAGAGAGGGAAACAAAATAAAGATGAGAAAATGGGTCTTCACTCTATTTTTACTTATTTTCCAAGACAAGTAAAATATATGTGTGAAATTTATCTACATAATATATTTTTTTATTCTGATCAGATTAATAACAAATCAGATTATTATAAATCTATATCCGAATACATTTAGACAATTTTAATCAGATTCGGCTTGGATCATATCAAATTAATAGATTGAAAATCTAATCCATATCCACTAAAACAAATTCAAATCGAATTTGAGAATAAATCCGGTTCAATGACAGACCTAGTTGCAACCTGAAATCCACGGCCTACTGATAGGTAAAAAACCAAGGCATTTATATTCAATGTCATTTTGCTAAATTCTGTGCAGGCACAAAAGTCTTCTTCCAAATATAATAATGTCCTCAAAAGTTTGTCTTCTTCCTCCATTTTCTCCACTGCTAGAAACTACTTCATAGAGCCAGCACAAAATGCTCCAAGTCTTCAGGCACACGTGGATGCAACGGATCTACATCTTCAGTAGATGTGACGCAGATCTAGCACAATATACTTTTTCCAGATATGATACATGTTCGGTATCAACCTAACGCACACAACGGTGCCACTCCGGCTCCAGATTTTCTTGTCGAACAGCACCACTCGTTGAATTCGAGCTACCGAAACTTGCAGCATCAACAGTATGGAAATTTTTTATTTGAATATCTTTCAGCCAACTACCAACACCAAAGAGGTTGGCTTAGTGGTAGCTCGGTCAAGGTGAGAGAGTGACTATGGCTCAGTTGTAGGCGCTCACTCTTGCTTGCAAGTGGTTGTAGTTTTCGACCTCATCCATTCTCACCCCAAAAAAAATAAAAAGAAAATAATGGTAGCTCAAAGACTCAGATCCACATGTGTGTATAGTCCTTGAGGCCACCGCCATCAGATTTATTCTCTTGCAGAGGTGACTTTGTATAAAATTCAACATTTGTCCGGTGTGCGAAGAGAAAATTCATTCGTTCAGCTCAAGGCCAGAAAGGAAAAACTATGAAGGAGAAGTTGCTGGCTGAAATGACTCAGCTTCTTAAGATGATTGCATTGCAGATTGCGTTACAGTTAAGCTCTGTCCTCACATTAATGAATTAGATATACAAACCTTGGGTACACCCCCAAAAAAGGTCTCAACTTTGGTTGATTAGGTGTTCAGAAGGAGTAAGCTTATAATATTGTCCAAGCTAGTGACAAAGCAATTCCCACATCGAGTTCGAATGAGAAGTTAATCATCACCGAAAGAATACATTACTCTCCTGATTAAACCTCAACAACCACGCAGCCACGCTTTGAGCACAAAGCGAACTATTCTTTCGCCTTTTACTAAAGAATACCGTGTGCTCATTAAATGAAGTGGCATACGCTTATTTTTGGAGGGTTTTTTATCCAAATGGGTGAACCCTTACAATGTATACCAAAGGCTAATTTCTTTATGGCTCTTGATGATTGAGTGGAGTCTCCAAATTCCTAGTAGTAATGTGGTAGTAAGATCGATAAATAGTTTCAGGTTTGGGTTTAGTATAAATGCAGAACATTTTAAGTTACACTTATTAAACACAATATATACACGTTTCAAACTCGGCTATACACGAGCTGAATACAGTCATGATGCGATGGTATCACAGAATTTTTCTGCAAAGTTAGTGGCCTCTAAATTTCATTAGAATATTCAATATCTCATACCAATTTAATAATCAAGTTCGATTTCGAATTGTGCATTATGGTGCTAATTGTAGTAGTTAATCAAAAAGAGCTCAATGTTGGTGAGTTAGCGTATGAATCTACCAAAATTGCAAATCCACGGGTGATGCCTTCATTGGGGGCTCTTACTAATAGGGTAGTGATGGTTGCGGCGGTGGTGATGGTGACAATATCACAACTACCTAATTTTTGTAGATATAGATTGTGGTGGAAGAGGAAGGAAATTGTTTCTTATTGTTTTTTTTTTTTTGAATAAGAATGAAGTATGAAAATCAATTCCATGGCTTAAAGCAAATTCTTTGAGTTTGTTGAAAAAGATTAAGAGATTAAGAGGAAAGAAAAAGGAAAACTGTGAGGAAGTTTGTAAATGGTGTAACTCGTAAGTCCTGAAAAAGGTTTTTCAACTTTAGGTGATCAAGTTATGAGAAGAAGTAAAAGTAAAGCCTATAAAATTGTAAAGGGGCATAGCAAACTTAATCCCACATCGAGGGGGAATGAGAAGTTAACAATTCTTGAGCTAGTATATGTCACTCAGAAGCCAACATCAACAACGCGCAGCCATGTGGTAAGCACATAGCGAACTATTCTTTCGCCTTTTACTAAAGAATACTGTGTGCTTGCCGCATTTAGTGGCTTACGCCTATTTTTGGAGGGGTTTTGTCCAAATGGGATGAGCCCCTATAAGTTATACAAAAGGTTATTACTTTGTGGTAAGATGTAGAAGTAGATTTAACCTTCTTGGTTTGAGTTTAATTTTAATGATTTTGGCTACGTAAATTGACTTGTTACATTCGAGTCTGACTTAAACAACTAAGAAGCCAAACACAACACGAGTAATTGATAGCGTAGCATCAAGAGAATCCTACAAAATGTTATGCAATTAAGAGGATGTTATTGCACAAGATGCAATACATCGGAGAGAATTTGAATTTTTCTGCAAAGCAAGTAGCCTCTAAATTTTGTAATAATATTGAATTTGTCATGCCTACCTGTCGGGATTGATTTTTACTATGCAATAGGGTGTTAGTTATGATAGTTAATCAGAAAGAGCTCACTATCGGTCACCTAGCATAAGACTTCACTGAAGTTTTCAAATCTATAGGTTGATGCGTCAATGAAAACTATTGCTGCTCTTACTGCATAAGGGAGGGGAAAGTTTTAAACTCAGCACCTGAGGGTGCCTGTAAAGGGACTTAACAACATTGCTCTAAAAGGAGTTGAACAATATCCTGAAAAGTGGTCTCAACTTTGTCTTAGGCAGAAGGAAGTAGTGGGGCTTATAAAATAGTCGGGGGATATAACAAAGATATTCCCACATCGATTTTGTATGAGAAGTTGATCAGCATTGGGTTAGTATATTACATTCCAGAGTGTAACTTTGGAGGACCGCAGCCATGTGGTGAGCACAAAGCGAACTATTCTTTCGCCTTTTACTAAAGAACACCGTGTGTTCGTCATACAAAGTGACATATGTCTATTTTTGGAGGGGTTCTTCTTATTAAGTGAGCCCCTATAAAAATTTCCCAATGTTTTCTTGTGGCTTTGGATGAGTATGCTGTGAGCCTCTATTGGGGCAATTTATTGTATGACTAGTAATTGTCTGTGAGAGCACTATTACTCTAAAAAAATTTGTAAAGCAATTGTCCCCAAGAGAAAATGCCACCATACAATACAAAAAATCACTAATATTGGAACAATTTATTGTATGATTAGTAATTGTCCGTACTTGAAGACACTGTTATTCGAAAAAAATTTGTAAAGCAATTGTCCATAACAGAAAATCACCATACAATACAAAAAATCACCAATAAAAAAAATTGAGAAAATTAACCGATCAATTTGAACATATTTCATTCTAAAAATATGACCTTTGAACAATATCAACAATTTATACAATCAATCTTTTATTTAAAGAGACAAAACTTACATCAATCATGCTACTCAAGCCCATAATACCAATATTTACCAACTACTATAACATAATAATTCAAACATACGAAAACATTTCACTTACAACTTATAAGCTGGATTAAAAACAAAACTTTAACAAATAAGAATAATTAAGTATACCCATAACTAAAAGTACTGTGTAAAACCAAAAATTTCGCTAAAAAAATATAAATCAAACGAGCAAAATTTCCACTAAAAAACTTAAATTAAAACAAAATTTATTGGACAAATTCCACAATAGATCTGAATATTAAACATGTATAACTCTTTAAATATGTGCACACATGACTATAGAGAGAAATTGAGTATTTATTGACAACACAATAACAATAAGTATGAATAAGTACATCTAGGGAGTTCTCCAAAATCTTATACATACACATATGAAGGTGATTGGTAAAACACGACTGAGAAAATAAGCAGAAGAAGGATCAACACCATCACTACCCATTTCTCTCAAAACCACCACCTCAAACACAAACTCATTAGGAATAACTTCAAATCAAAATGCAAAAGCAAGCTATACAACAACTTGTCTTTCTTGAAAATTAGGAGCAAACAGTAAGTTATGTTAATTTCTTGAAAATTAATTTTGTTAGACCCATTTATGAGTGCCCTATATAACATAGAGTGTGGTTTCTCTTTACGTAACAATATGACAAAAAATTCAGTCTTACAACAAAGTTTATTTAGAGGGAGAGAATTTACGGGTAGCGAAAGTGTGGGACACTCTTGTTGGGTCTTGTGGCTTTAGTTGTTACTCATTCGTCAGATTGGAATGACCCAGGACACACGACACTAGAATTCAAAACAAAGATAACATGATAAAATATTAAGCAAGGACAGAGCTAGAAATTTGCGATAATCTATATAATAAAATAGGAGTGTGTTTGAATTTTATCCCAATCATATTTTCTCCCTCAAAACCATCACCAATTACTTACCTCACCCATCATTTCTTTGTCAGACTCAAACGTCAAATCACATCACTCATTTAATCATTTATATATTTCATTCCTAAAAATCACACAACTTATTTCTATCATATATTTAATTATTTAATATTTAGTTAATTTGTAGTTAATATATTTTGAAAAAATTTAATATGATGGAATTATTTTTTTGAACGCTCGAATTTTATATTTTATCGTGCCTTCTGACACGGGTTATGACTACTATATATATAAGAACAAATTTAATAATAACAAGATAAAATATTAAACTAAGAATACATGCATGCAAAATATTAAATATTGATTAGTAATAATCGTATTCAAAACATTCGTAATTGTTCTAGACTAGCTTTCATATTTCAAAATTATTGCATGATAGTTTCATTATTAATCTTTTGAAATTATGTTTTTTCTTAGCTTGATGTTATTTGGATCTAATTTGTGACCTAATCTGTCATTATTGTTGGACTAATAATCAATTTCAACACTAATTAGGACCTATTGTCAATCCAAAAATAGTAATAATTTAACTCAGCTAATTAGGTAAACGAATTAGGTTTAATATTATTATTCTTAATATATATCAGGTTAAGGGGATTCAATTAACTAAACATTATCTTATTTGTTGGATTGAATATTTAGAGACTGAAGGAATGATTCTCAGAATTAATGTGCAGACTTTTTTGTTTGGAGGGGCAAGATGAAAGATACTTCATCCGCTCATAAATATCTGTCGTTTAAAGTTTTTGCATAGGGATTAAGGAAGCTATTAAATACCTTTAATATGAGTATAAAATAATTACATAATACTAAAATGCCCTTATTCAATACGTATTGGGAAAGAAATGAATATGAAAGACACTTAACCTCCACCTAATCTAATGTATTGAAAAGTTAAGAGTAAATTTGGAAGAAAAAATATTAATTATGTTTTGGTTTCATTAAACGACAGATATTATGAAACAAAAAAAATTGTGTAAAACGACTGATAATTAGGAATGGAGGGAGTATAATATATACATTATGTAAGACTTAAAAAAAAATTGAGTGGGGGCAGTTACATCTAGCTCCTCCATGATGATAAGCGATGCTAGGCTTACGGTGTTGAATAGTTATTTTTTGGTA